ATATTACTCAACCATAAGAAGAGATGAATTATTGCCATTTGCGAAAACATGGATGGACCTCGAGATAACCATGCTAAGCGAAATCAGTCAGACAGAAAAAGTCGAAAATCACATGATATCACTTATATGTGGGATAGAAACCTAAAACAAATGAACAGCAGTAAGAAACAGAGACTCATGGACATGGACAATAGATTAGTGATTATCAGAGGGTAGGGGGGAAAGGAGGAGTTAGATACGGTAAAGGGGGTCAATTATGTGGTGACAGAAAAAAAATCTAACCATGGGAGGTGAACACACAATGTAAGTATATATAATATATATAAGCCTTACTGTTAAAATATACAGCTGAAACTTACCGGACTTTGTTAACCAATGTCACCATAATACATACATACATACATACATACATACATACATACATACAGTTACATAAAAAAAGTAGAAGGAGATGATAAACCAATCACAGGAATGCAATGATCTGTAGCAAGAACCTCAATACAGAGCCCAGAAAAGTTTCTCAAGGAATCAGATGCACTAGGTCAACTCAGGAGTTCCCAGAGTTCTGCAAGGTCACAACAGAAAAAAAAGAAAAAAAAAAAAAAAACAACTTCACACCTCGCCTTGAGACGTGTTTATGCTACCTGGTTCTCCAAGTAGGGTAGAACACCTCAACATAGAGATGAAGGGAACACATTTCATCAAGGATATAATAAGACGACCTATACATCATCTCTGGGAGGGCCTAACTCATTGATGGCAGTTAAGAGACATGCACAAAAGACACTTTGGTTCCATCTGAAAACCTGAGTTAGAAGTCAGGCTGTGCATTCTACCATTATCTTTCAACTGAATCAGAAAAACTAGGTCCACAGTTAACCAAAATCTCACAACTCTGTCATTCAGCAAAGATTCACCTCATATTGATTTTGTAGGCAGAGACTGGAGATTGCAAAATGAGAAGATTTCATGTTTGTTATTTCTTTGTTTTTTAAATTTATTTTGAATTACAGCTGACATATAATATTATATTAGTTTCAGATGCACAACATAGTGATTAGACATTTAAATACCTTATGAAGTGACCACCCCGATAAGTCTAGCACCATTCTGACACCTATGCTGTACTTTACATCCTTGCCTGCTTTGTGGCCCCTGAAAAACACTGATCAATTTTCTGTCACTACAGGTTTGCCTGTTCTACATTTTTTTTTAAAAAATGGAATCATGCAGTGTGTATGATGCCATGTTTATGTCTTCTTTTGCTTGGAATAATGTTCTTGAGGTGTGTCCATGTTTCAACTTGTTCAACTTTTATTGCTGAATAGTATTCCATTGTATAGATGTACTATGGTTTGTTTATCCATTCCTCTGTTGATGGCTATTTCTAGTTTTCATCTACTGTGAATAAGTTGCTATGAACATTCTTGTTCAGCTCTTTTTGTGTGCATACTTTCCTTTCTCTTGGGTAAATGCCTAGGAGTAAAATGGCTGTACTCTATGTTTACCTTTTTAAGTTTAACCGTTTCCCAGAGTGATTGAACCACTTCACATTCTCATCAGCAGTGTATGAGTTCTACTTGCTCCACATCATGACCAACACTGTGGACTTTTCTTTTATGCTTTATACTTTAAATATACTTTTTATTTTAGAAAAATGTTAGATTTGTAGAGAAGTTGCAGAGATAGTACGGAAAGTGTCCGTATACCTCTCAACTAGTTTTACCTAATGTTAGCATCGTACATTACTAATGTACATTTATCAAAACCAGGAGACTGACACTGGTACATCACTATTTATAAACCTTCAGACTTCATTCAGACTTCACCGGTTTGTCAACTAATGTACTTTTTCTGTCCCAGGATCCCATGCAAGATACTACATTACATTTAGTCAACACTTAATGATTCAAGTAATGGTCTCCTTAGTTACCTCAGGTCTGTGACAATTTCTCAGTCCTTCTTTGTTTTCATGACTTTGACAGTTTTGAAGAATATTGGTTAGGTATTTTGTAGAATGTCCCTAAATTTGGATCTATGTGAAGTTTGTTTTTCATTTTTAGATATGGGTTCTGTAGAAGAAAACAACAGGGCCAAATGCCCTCATCACATCATGATACCCATCTGACTTTTCATTGGTGATGTTAACTTGATTTCTTTTTAAATTTATTTTAATTTAATTTTATTTATTTATTTATTTATTTTTTAGTGTCTAGCCAGGGTTTGGATAATATCCAACAGTAGAGTATTTAGGTCCCCTACTATGATAGCGTTTTGGTCTGTTTCTCCCTTTAGTTC